CTGCGTGGCCCCTCGCTCTGACCCGCTGTTTGCAGGTGCTGGCCAAAACTGTCCTGGTCGTGGCCCCGCGCACCGGTCGGGACCGCGAGTCCGCCCTCGCGGCCTTCGCGCTGGAGCGCTTCGCTCACGCTCTGGCAGGAGGCACCGCCGCTGCCTGGCCGGCCAGTCCACCAGCGAGCTTCGGGTCGCCCGCGCCGCGGCCTTCGCCGCAGAGGGCTTCCTTAGAGGGTTGCGCGGCGCCGACTGCCTGGAGGCTGGCCGAGCCAACGTGGGAGACAGGGGAAGTCTTGGAGCGGCTGCGCCCGAGTGTGCCCGCCGAGCCGCTCGGGCACTTGGACGCGCTCCTGGCTGCGTCAGAGCTGGCGCCGCACGCCGTGCTCAAGGCACTGCGCTGCGCTCGTCCCCGAAAGGCGCTGCGCCAGCGGCCTCTGGGTTGCGAACGCAGCACCTGCTCGACGCCTTCTCGCCCGCCGCGCGTGCGACCGTCTGCGATCAGCTCGCGGCCGCGGGGCGCTTGCTGGCAAACGGCGAGGCGCCCCGGCAGCTGGCGCCATACCTGGCGGGGGCCAGCTTGGTGGGGTTGCAAAAGGATAACGGCGGCGTCCGGCCGATCGCAGTTGGCGAGGTGCTCCGTCGCCGCACGAGTAAAGTTCTGCGTGGCCACGTGAAGGGCAGGGTGAGACAGACGCTCTGGCCGCTGCAGACCAGGTGCCGCAGCTCGCTCGGTGTAGAGGCAACAGTCCACGCTGTCCTCCCGTGGTGCGAGCGCAACCGAGACCCGGGCAACGAGGTTCTACTCAAGCTGGGGTGCGCGTCTTCAATACCTTGCTTGCGACGGGGCGAAGTGCTGCGTGCCGTGGGTGGCCAGAGCTGGAGCGGTGGGCGCGTTGGGCCTGCGCGGGGCACTCGCGCCTTCTCTTGGGCTCACTGGCGCTCGCAGGGCGACCCGCAGGGGCCGCTCTTCTTTCCGTCGGCCGCGCGCCCCGTCCTGGGGGAGCTGGCCAGGGGCCCGGGGTTGGACGTCGAGTTTTTCTAATTGAAGGGCGGCTTCCTGGCGGGCGCGGTGGCGGCGGTTTCGCGCGTCCCCACTGCCCTGCATCGGCGCTGTCCCGCCCTAGGACTGGCGCTCAACTTGGGGGTTTTGCGAGCTGGTGGTCCCTGTCGGGAGTGCGCTGGACGCGCTGGGCAATTCGTCCCAACACCTCCCGGCGCCGCTGCTGGCGGGCCCTGACGCCAGCGCCTGCCGCGGTACCTTGGGGCGGTTTCGGGTTCGCGGGGGCGTGCGCTGAGCGCCGTGTATTTAAGGCCAAACCGATTTTGGCCGCGCTGGTAGCCATCCGCCCGCAGGTGGCCCTCCACCTGCTGCGTCAGCGCGCCAGCTCCGGCAAGCTTGTCCACGGCGCGCGCGAGGCGCCTCCAGATCTCCAGGCGGGCGCTTTCCGCTGCTACTACGACGCGCAGGGGTCGCCTTGCGGGGCCTGCGTGCCTCGCACATGACGGAGGCCCAGTCGTGCCAGGCTTCTCGGGCTCGCGTGCGCTCGCCTGGGTCCGCGGCGGCCAGGGGCCCAATTGGCCGGCGCTTGCCTGGCCAGCCTCAACGCCGCGCGGCGCCTTGCCGCGGAGTTGGTCTCGGCGTGCACCTGGGCGCCGGAGGGCGATGGCGCGCGGGTGGAGCTGCCCTCGCCGCCCGCGACAAGTCGCAGCTCCCGCCAGCTGCTGTCCAGCCCCCAGAAACGTTCGATGGGGTCAAGCAGAAGGACTTGTCCGCCGCCCTCGACGAGTACTCGCGCGGGCAGTTCTACGAGGGCCTCGGCGTTGCCGACGGCGCGGACGTCTCGTCCGAGCAGCCCCTGGGCGTGTCGGACTTCTTGGAGGCGGCGCCCAACGACGAGCTCGGATTGCTGTTCGAGCCGGAGGAGTTCCTCACCGAAGTGCCATGACGGCTGCTGCTGGCTGTTTGCGACTCGGACTACTCCTGCTCTTGCTGCGATGACTACTGCGACCGGTACGGCCGCCGTTCCAGCCTCTGCGCGGGGGCTGGGGACAGGGTGCGCCGGCGCAACGCCACGCGCAGTCAGGTTTGGTTTTTCGCGTCAGCTGCTGGCTGCAACCCCGAGCTGGAGAGGCCGGGGCTTTTGCCGCCGCGCCCAGGTGACAACCCTGCGAACGGTCGCCGCCCTGCCGACGTGTGCATCCCGAGCTGGCACCCACGCGAGCCACGCAGCTCTGGCGCGTGGCTTTTGAAACGGGGGGCGCGCTGCCAGCGCGTGCGAGGTTGTCATGCGCGGCCACCTTGACGCGGAGGCGCGTTCCAGGCACCAGGGGGTTCTTTTCATCCTTCTCGCTGCAGGGTCCTCGGGCGTGTGGGGCCCGACGAGAACCGAGGCGCTCCGCCGTCTGGCGCAGGCTGGCGACGCGCGGCTTGGCGAGGGGCCAGGCGCCGGAGCGAAGCGCTTGTTCCAGCAGCTTCAGGTCGCCATCCGCACGGCCTCTGCGCTGGCCGTCCTGCGGAGACAAGTCGAGGACAGCCTTGCAGGGGGTCGTCGCGGCGACTCGGGACGTGTTTGCTGGGGACAGCGAGGGTCCCGTGTAAATAGCTACGGGCGCCCCCCGTTCCGCCCTGCCGCCGTCCGTCGTCTTTCTCCGCCTCCTCCTCCTCCTCCTCCTCCTCCTCCTCCTCCTCCTCCTCCTCTTTGTCCCTCCTGTGCTTTGCAGTCGCGTTGGCCGCTGTGGGCTGGGCGCGTTTCTTTCACTTCCTCTTCTCCTCTCTTCCTTTCTTCCCCTCTCCTTCCCCGCTCTTTGCTTCGGGCCAGTGCTCGTGCGCCCGCCGGCGGGGTCGGGTGGCTCACGCCCCGCGGCCGCGCACTGGCCTCCTCCGTTTCCCGGTTCTCTCCTGTTCCCCCCTCGTCCTCCCACCCTTCCTCTGCGACCTTGCGTTCAATTGCGTTTTATGCGAAACCCAGGGCACAGATGTTGCCGCTGACGGTCGCCCTGCTTCTTTCCCCCGCCCCCTCTTCTTGCCCCCCTCCCTCCCTCGCTGCCCCTGTCCCCCGCCATTCCACCCCCGTCCGTACCCCCCACCTCTGGCCACCCCCACTGCCTACCCGCTTCCCCTTGTTTCCCCCCGCCCCCCGGCACCCCGGGTGGACGGGATCCGCCTGTCGTCGCTTGGGGGGGGGCGAGGGGTCCCCGACTGCCCCCCAGCACCCCTGGCCGGGGGGCGTGACAGCGCCCTTGCCCGATGCCTTTCCTTGGCTGTGGGCCGTGGGCGGTGGTGCCAGTCACGTGCGGTCGTTCCGTCATCCCGACGGGCTCCAACCACAGCGGTCCAACATAGCGGTCCCGCCTTCCCTCCCTCCGTCCTTCTATCTTCTCCCCTTCCTCCTGTACCTCCTCCGTTGCCTGCTGGTCATGCATCATGTCGTTATCCTCCTCCCCTGAACTCTTGCTTTACGTGTCATTCGTGCTATGATTCCTTTTGCTCTTCTTCGTATCATGTTTGGTTCCTTTGTCGTCGTTGTTTTACTTATAGTGTTTCAGCAGCATATGTTGGTCATTATTTTTTAGTTTTCAGTTTTTTGTCGTTGGTATTACAACCATGTTCATTGTTGTTATTTTTGTTATTCGTATCATCACTATGTTTCGTATTATCAGTATTACTAGTACAACCTTATGATTCGCATTGGTTCCATTTGTATTACTATTCGTATGTGTGTATGTGTAATTATTATTTGTAATGTTGTGATTGTTGTGATCACTAGTTGTAATATTGTTAATGAGCTCATGTGACCCATGAGTATGTGTAATATTTTTTATAGTATTCTATTTTTTCTTTTATTGTTGTGAATGAGCTCATGTGACTGTTGTGATCACTAGTTGTAATATTGTTATTATTAATCGTCTTTTGATGCTATTGTTTTCTGGCTTTCGTTCATCTTCATTTTCTTCTCATCAGTTGTATGCTTCTTCTTTTTATTTTTCTTATTTGTTCTCCTGCTGCTCCTCCTCTTTCCTCGCTCCCGCGCGATGGACCATGGGCCGTCCTGGTTACTTGCTTCTAGGACTTCCAGGACCTCAAGGGCCGTCTTGAGGCCCTCCTGGACCGTTTTGGGGCCCTCGTGGAGGCCTCTTGGGCCGTCTTGGGGCAACCTTTTGGGCCTCAGGGGCCGCCTGGAAGCGTCCGGAACTCGAAGAGGCGGGAACGCCCAAATCAATGATTCTGGTTTTTTGGGGCCTTCTTGGGTGGCCTCTTGGAGGCCTGGGGCGTCGTGGAGGCCTCTTGGGCCGTCTGGAGGCCATACTGCGTGTTTTCGGACGATCTGTCAGCGACTCGGGGCTCTCTTGGACGGTCTTTGGGGCATCTCGGCGCCTTTTTGGCCCGTCTTGGGGCCCGGGTGGGCCTTAAACTCACGCGCCACCACGTGGAGGAACCCAGGGGAACCGCGATAAGTCTACGTAGATTTGCCAATTTGGGCTCTGGGCCCCTGAGAAACTCTTGAGCAGTGAGCACTGCGGCTTAGAGGACCAGGCGAAGGGCCCGAGGACACGCCCACTTCGTGCCCAGAGGCACGGTGGCGGATATGATTATGCATGTGTAGAGATGTACACACGGACTGCGCAGCAGCGGATGGCGGGCCGAGCCACGGCGTTCGGACGCCTCATCCGCACTAGCTCGCCGTGCGCACACCGGGGGCCCAGAGCGGCGGGGCGGGGCCAGTTCGGGGGGGGCGGGCGGGCGGTCTCTTGGGGGAGGTCTCTCAGCTGGGAAGCCCCACTGTCGGGCGACGAAATGTACGTATCCACTGCTCCCTGGCCTGGCCCATCCCGAACCCAGGAGCTGTGCATGCGCGTTCCTGGCTAAGCCAGGAGGGGCGTGGCGTACACACCGCTGCCGGATTCACGAGGGGCCAGGCCACGGAGCAGTGGATAAGTATAGATTTCGTCGCCCCAGAGTGTGTGTGCAAATGTTGCTGCCCGTATGAGCGAGCGGCGCCGCGGAGGAGTCGCTGCCAGGCCTGGCCTGCGCCTGCTGGCTGGTGCTGTGCGCGGCCATGGCGCTGCTCTACGCCACCGCGCACACTCCGGCGCGCCCTTTGAGCCGACACCCTCGTTCCCCTCGACGGTGTTTCTTTGCCTTCTGGACCTCAAACTCCCTCCTCCCCTTCACAACGTAGCCCCCCCCCTAGTGCGTCCCCGGCACTGCCGAAGTGCGTGCGGCACCACAGTCTGTCACGGTGGGGGTCGGGGGCGTCTCCCCCCCCCGCCCCACCCTCCCCCCTAGAACGCCCGAAAATCTTTCAGAGGTCCGCGCGGATTTCTTGGATAGGCGCTGGGCATCCTTGGCGAAGCCTCCGGCGCCGCCCCTGGCGCGCTCCGCGCGTCAGGGAAGGGGGTCCACCGACCATCCAAGAAATTCGCGCGGTCCTCCGACAGTTTATGCTCATTATGTTTTTCGTCGACCTGTACTACTATTGTTGTTCGTGCTATTATCATTATCATCACCACATTTATTAGTGTTATTGTCGTTATTCGCAGCCGCTTTTTCATTCATATTATTGTGTTGATGGTTGTGCTTATGTTTATTATTATTTGTCTTACTCGTAGTATTCGTATTAGTTGTATATTGCCATTGTTATTTCCCATGATTGTTATTCGGATTCTTATAATTGTTGTAATGGGTACAGTTGTTCATTGAACTATTATTAGTATTATTATTGGTAAGTTTGATGCTTAGTATGACTACCAAGGTTGTGTTGATTCGTTGTCTCTTTTTGTTGTTGTCTTTTTCTTGATATTTTTCTTCTTCTCACTCTCATCATACTTCTTCTTCGTCTTCCTCTTTCTCCTGCTTCTCCTCCTTCCTCGCTCCCGCGCGATGGACCATGAGCCCTCCTGGCGCATTACCATCAATCTTTTTGTCATTATTAGAAGGCATTGAGTTATTCATGTTTGAATACTAAGTGTTATTACCTCTACAGGAGGAAATATTCCTCTCCCCCTCTTTTCCGTAGTCGGCATCTGTACACCACCAACACCATGCCTGGCCAGGGCCATTCTTGACCCTGGGGCCCAGGGCCATCCTGGGCTTAAGTTGGGCCTGTCCCCCTACAGGAGGAATCTCAAACCATAGTCAAGAATAGTATGGAGGCGACTTGTCGTTTTTTTTTGGGAGGGGGATACGTTTGACTACTTTTTATGTCTCGTCCAAAATCCGCCCTGGGAGGACACGCCCGACCTGATCCTGGGCCCCCGGCCCCCCCACCTTGGCCAGCGGGGGTGGGCGTCGGTGCCGCGCCAGGGCCCCGGGGCGTGGCCCTGGCCGGGCACGGCGGCGCTGGCCGTGCACCCCGAGAACGGGGGCACCCTCTGCGCACGCGTCGGCCCCGCGCGCGCCGCCAGGCGGACGCCGCCGCGAAGCGGCAGTGAGCCCCGCGGCGGGCGACGAGCGCGGCGGGCCTGCGCGGGGCGCCCGCGCGGCGCGGCGCCGCCGCCGCAGCGCCGCGCGCCGCGGGCTCGCCCCTGGCGGCGGGGGCGGGCGCCGGGGCGCCGCAGCGGCCGGGAGTCGGCCGATGCCGGCTGCGCGGGGTCGCGGGCGCTCAGGGCGGCGGCGACGGCCCAGGCGCTCAGGGTTGGACGCCGACGCTGGCCACGCGCAGGGCGGGGCAGGGGGAGGGGTGGGGGACGGCGTTTTAGGAGCACCCCTGCTGCTCAGAAGGCGCGGGCCCTGTCCGTAGACGTGAGGCCCGCCCCTTCTCAGAAGCAGCCTCCTTCTAAGAAGCCTTCACCCCTCCCCCTGCAGTGGGGGCCCATGCCAAGAAGCACCCTGCTTGCCTCTGGGTTTCTTGGGGTTCTATGGTTCTGCGATGGAGAGCGCGACGCGCCCGCCCCAAAAGTCCACGGGGGTCCTGGGGTCTCAGGGTCGGGTTTCTCGTGGACGGCTTCCTGCGGTCGAGCTCCTGCTGTGCCCTCCCTGTGCGCGCCGCCAGCAGTGGCCCGGAAGCGGCCGCGGTTGGAGGGTCTGCGGTGTCGGGGAGGCGCGGCCTCTCAAGGTGGAGCGATGCACGCGGCGTCGGAGGCCAGCGCCCAGCGTCGTCGCGACGCGGTCCCGCCGCTGGGGGAGTTCGGGAGGCGTGGGGCTTCGCAGTCCCCCCCTCGCCCTCCCTCCCTCCTCTTCTCCCCTCCCTCCCCCCCCTCTCTCCCTCTCCTCTCCTCGTGCCCCTCGCCCTCCCTCCACTCCTCCTTCCCCCTCCCTGGCTCCAGTGCGCCCCCTTCTTCTCCTTCCCTACCTGCTCCCCTTGCTCCCCCTGCTCCCCCTGGCTGCTGCTCCTCCCCCTCCCCCCCCCCCCCCTCCGTTCCCCACCCCTCGCCCACGTGTCCCTTCCTCCCCCTGCTCCTCTCCCCCCCCTGCGTTCCTCCCTCTCCCGCCCCTCTGTTCCCCCCCTGCTCATCCCTCTCCTCCCCCTCGCTGCTCCTCCTGCCTGTTTTCCCTGGCTGCTGCTCTGCCTTTCCCCCCCCCCCTCCGTTCCTCCCCCCCGTCCCCCCCCCCCCCTTTCAACCCACGTGTCCCCCGCCCACCCCCTGCTGGAAGCCGATGCTGTGAGACGACCCGCGACGACGTGAGAAAACATGGACGGGGCCCTCGATGCTGTCTTTCCGCGGCATGTCCCTGGTCCTGATCGATCAGTGAGGTCCCGGGGCCCAAGACGGGGCGAAACACGTTGGTTGTACTTCCTGCGCGACGCATGGATCGCAGGGCCTCCCCATCGCTTCCCCCTCCTATTCGGGTGTATCTTGGCGACGCGCAGAGGGGGGCGGAGGCGAGGGGGGTGCAGGGTTTGATTTCCAACAATTTCAGGGGGTACGATGAAGACGATGATGGTGATGATGGTGACCATAATGGTGATGGTGCTGGTGATGGTGATGGCGGTGATGACGATGGTGATGATCATGACGCTGGTGATCGTTTCGATGGTGCAGCGGCCTCGAAGACGTCCCATGAGGGCGCCAGCCTGGACCAACAGAGCTCCAGGAGAACCCCAAGATGCCCCGAAGACGACCTGAGAGGTCACCACGAGGACCTCAAGGTAAGTCCAGAGGGATCCACGGCATCTCCAATGCAGATCCGAGGCGGCCGCAAGAGTCCCCAGGAGAAGGCGGGCCAGAACGAGCCACAGACCTCGCGCCCTCGTCAAGGGGGGAAGGCGCCTTCCGTCCGCGTGCTGACCTCGTGACGGAGAGCGCACGCAGCGTGCGAGCCGTTGGCGGATGGATCGAAGCGATGAGCCGGGGTGACTGTCAGGGCTGTCGGTGGCCATGCCCCAGGTGCTGACGCCCGACATGGGCACTGAAAGAATGGGTACAATACCCAACAGCGGATCCTGTTCATTTTGAACAGGGCTCGCTGTCCACGCCGCTGCGGCCTGTGTCCATTCGAGACAGAAGGCCGCCTGTCCAACAGCGGCCGCTGTTGGCTTGGGACAACATTTGCTGTTGGGCATAGTACCAATTTTTTCGGTACCCATTTCGGGCGTCCAAAACCAGGTGCTGACGCGCCCTGCTTCGGCCAGGTCGGTGGCTTCTCGGTCCAACTGGCCCGCAGAGGCGTCACGGTAGCCCTCGAGGGCGCCAAGAGGCCACCAACATGTCCCGGGAGGGCTCCAGGAGACGTCCCAGATTGCCGAACGGGCCTCCAGGATCGTCTAAGCCAATTTGCCCCGAATATGGTGCCAAGCATGCACTGTCGAGAGTCTCATCTTTCAGCTCCAGATGGCTCCGAGAAGGGCCCCAGAGGCCTCCCAAAGGGCCCCAAAGGCCTACTAGAGCCCCCAAACAGGCCCAGGATGGCCCAAGGCGCCCTCGAGATGGCCGAAGATTGCCTCCACGCCTCCAAATGGGCCCCGCGACGGCTCCAAGACAGCCCCCAAGAATCAAACCTGTTCCTTCCCCGTTCTCTGCAGCCTCTTGTTGGCCCAAGTTTTTGTTTGTGTGTTTTTGAAAGCCAGGCGTTCAGCCCACGTCTTCCCATTTAATTCGAGCACCCCTCGTCTATGCCTCCTAGATGGGGTCGGAGTAGATAGGGTCGAAGGATCGATCCGCAGCGCCGATGCATCGCCGATGCGGCTCGATGCGGGGCCCGATTTTCTCCATGCCGGCGTCGCCGATGTACCGCCGACGTCGCCGATGCATCGCAGGTGCATCGCCGATGCATCGTCGATGCATCCCCGATGCATCGGCGATGCGGCGCGATCCCCCGACCCCATCTACTCGGACCCCATCTAGGAGGCCTCTACCACCTTCAAACACCACAAGACAATGGCGCACTCTGGCATCGCCTTGCTCGTGGCCGCCTTCGCCGCTGGCCTGGTAGCCTGCCAGATGGGCAATGCCTTCGTGGCGGCGCCTCTCGGCCAGCGTGGGCTTGATGGCCACGTGGAGCCGGCCCCAGTTTCCACGGTACCCAGCGCAGCGCCCGCCTCTCAGTCGGCGGCGCCCGTCGGAGTCGGCCTGACAATGATCGGGGCGTCCGTGGCCCTCGCCCTGCTCGCCAGGGGTTCGCTGTCCAGCGCTGGCAGGGAGGCGCGCGCGCAGGGCCCCGCGCGGCATAGGGTCGTGATGACGGCGTTCGAGAGCGAGCTGGGCGTGCAGGACCCCGTGGGCTTCTGGGACCCTGCCGGGTTCACGGCGGACGGTAGCACGGCGAACTTCGCCAGGAGGCGCCAGACAGAGCTCAAGCACGGCCGCGTGAGCATGCTGGCGACGATGGGTTACATCACGCCCGAAATCACGGGCAAGCTCGCCTTCGCGGCCGGTCCCGCGGCGCTTCGTGGCGTACGGCGCGTTCTGCGAGCTGTCCCAGGACCAGCTGGCACCGCTGCGACTTCGGCTTCAAGGTGCTGACGTCCAGTGACGCTGGGGAGAAGCAGAAGAAGTTGGCGGCGGAGATCGCCAACGGTCGCCTTGCCATGATGGCTATCATCGGAATGTTTTTCGGAATGTTTTTCCAGGACGGTTGGGTCCGCGTGGGGCGACTGGGCGCTCTACACGGATCCCCGCTGCGCGCGTTCGAGAGCGAGCTGGGCGTGCAGGACCCCGTGGGCTTCTGGGACCCTGCGGGTTCACGGCGGATGGTAGCACGGCGAACTTCGCCAGGAGGCGCCAGACAGAGCTGAAGCACGGCCGCGTGAGCATGCTGGCGACCATGGGCTACATCACGCCCGAAATCACCGGCAAGCTGCCAGGGCTACCTGTCGCCTTCGGCTGGCCTGAAGTTCGCGGACATCCCGAACGGGCTCGGGGCGATCTCCAAGGTTCCCGCGGCGGGCTGGGCGCAGATCGTGGCGTACGGCGCGTTCTGCGAGCTGTCGCAGGACCAGTCCTGCTGGCACACCTGCCGCCGGCAGGCGACTTCGGCTCAAGGTGCTGACGTCCAGTGACGCTGGGGAGAAAGCAAGAAGTTGGCGGCGGAGATTGCCAAACGGTCGCCTTGCCATGATGGCTATCATCGGAATGTTTTTCCAGGACGGTTTGACCGGTCCGCGTGGGGCGACTGGGCGCTCTACACCGGATCCCCGCTGCGCGCGTTCGAGAGCGAGCTGGGGCGTGCAGGACCCCGTGGGCTTCTGGGACCCTGCCGGGTTCACGGCGGACGGTAGCACGCGAACTTCGCCAGGAGGCGCCAGACAGAGCTCAAGCACGGCCGCGTGAGCATGCTGGCGACGATGGGTTACATCACGCCCGAAATCACGGGCAAGCTGCCCGGCTACTTGTCGCCTTCGGCTGGCCTGAAGTTCGCGGACATCCCGAATGGGCTCGGGGCGATCTCCAAGGTTCCCGCGGCGGGCTGGGCGCAGATCGTGGCGTACGGCGCGTTCTGCGAGCTGTCGCAGGACCAGTCTGCTGGCACCGCTGCCGCCGCAGGCGACTTCGGCTTTAAGGTGCTGACGTCCAGTGACGCTGGGGAGAAGCAGAAGAAGTTGGCAGCGGAGATTGCCAATGGTCGCCTTGCCATGATGGCTATCATCGGAATGTTTTTCCAGGACGGTTTGACCGGCTCCGCGTGGGGCGACTGGGCGCTCTACACAGGATCCCCGCTGCGCGCGTTCGAGAGCGAGCTGGGCGTGCAGGACCCCGTGGGCTTTTGGGACCCTGCCGGGTTCACGGCGGATGGTAGCACAGAGAACTTCGCCAGGAGGCGCCAGACAGAGCTCAAGCACGGCCGCGTGAGCATGCTGGCGACGATGGGTTACATCACGCCCGAAATCACGGGCAAGCTGCCCGGCTACTTGTCGCCTTCGGCTGGCCTGAAGTTCGCGGACATCCCGAATGGGCTCGGGGCGATCTCCAAGGTTCCCGCGGCGGGCTGGGCGCAGATCGTGGCGTACGGCGCGTTCTGCGAGCTGTCCGCAGGACCTCTGCTGCACCGCCCGCCGCCGCAGGCGACTTTGGCTTTAAGGTGCTGACGTCCAGTGACGCCGGGGAGAAGCAGAAGAAGTTGGCAGCGGAGATTGCCAACGGTCGCCTTGCTATGATGGCTATCATCGGAATGTTTTTCCAGGACGGTTTGACCGGCTCCGCGTGGGGCGACTGGGCACTGTACACCGGATCCCCGCTGCGCGCGTTCGAGAGCGAGCTGGGCGTGCAGGACCCCGTGGGCTTCTGGGACCCTGCTGGGTTCACGGCGGATGGCAGCACGGAGAATTTCGCCAGGAGGCGCCAGACAGAGCTCAAGCACGGCCGCGTGAGCATGCTGGCGACGATGGGTTACATCACGCCCGAAATCACCGGCAAGCTGCCGGGCTACCTGTCGCCTTCGGCTGGCCTGAAGTTCGCGGACATCCCGAATGGGCTCGGGGCGATCTCCAAGGTTCCCGCGGCGGGCTGGGCGCAGATCGTGGCGTACGGCGCGTTCTGCGAGCTGTCCCAGGACCAGTCCGCTGGCACCGCTGCCGCCGCAGGCGACTTCGGCTTCAAGGTGCTGACGTCCAGTGACGCCGGGGAGAAGCAGAAGAAGTTGGCGGCAGAGATTGCCAACGGCCGCCTTGCCATGATGGCTATCATCGGAATGTTTTTCCAGGACGGTTTGACTGGCTCCGCGTGGGGCGACTGGGCGCTCTACACCGGATCCCCGCTGCGCGCGTTCGAGAGCGAGCTGGGCGTGCAGGACCCCGTGGGCTTCTGGGATCCTGCCGGGTTTACGGCGGATGGTAGCACGGAGAACTTCGCCAGGAGGCGCCAGACAGAGCTCAAGCACGGCCGCGTGAGCATGCTGGCGACGATGGGTTACATCACGCCCGAAATCACCGGCAAGCTGCCCGGCTATTTGTCGCCGTCGGCTGGCCTGAAGTTCGCGGACATCCCGAACGGGCTCGGGGCGATCTCCAAGGTTCCCGCGGCGGGCTGGGCGCAGATCGTGGCGTACGGCGCGTTCTGCGAGCTGTCCCTGGACCAGTCCGCTGGCACCGCTGCCGCCGCAGGCGACTTCGGCTTCAAGGTGCTGACGTCCAGTGACGCTGGGGAGAAACAGAAGAAGTTGGCGGCGGAGATTGCCAACGGTCGCCTTGCTATGATGGCTATCATCGGAATGTTTTTCCAGGACGGACGGTTTGACCGGGTCCGCGTGGGGCGACTGGGCGCTCTACACCGGATCCCCGCTGCGCGCGTTCGAGAGCGAGCTGGGCGTGCAGGACCCCGTGGGCTTCTGGGACCCTGCCGGCCTGAGCAAGGACGGCGATACAGAGGCCTTCAAGAGGCGCCGCGTAACTGAGATAAAGCACGGGCGCGTGGCCATGTGGGCGTGCATGGGCTACATCACCCCTGAGTACTTCAAGTGGCCTGGCTTTTGCTCGCCGTCCAAGGGCGTCGCGTTCACGGACATCCCCAATGGCCTTGCAGCGCTCTCCAAGGTTCCAGGCGCGGGATGGGTCCAGATCTTCCTGTTCTGCGGCGTGCTCGAGAAGGGCTTGTTCGTGTACGACCCGTCGAGGGCCCCAGGCGACTACGAGAACGGTGGCGTGCTGGGCGTGCCCAACGGCAGTACTTTGCCTGCTGGGGAGCTCAAATCCCGCAAGCTGAATTCCGAGATCGCTAACGGAAGGCTGGCGATGATGGCGATCATAGGCATGTTCTATCAGGATGGTTTGACTGGGTCAGCATGGGGTGACTGGGAGTTGTACACAGACTCGCCGCTTCGATGAACAGTGAGTGGCCGTCTGCCGCCTTCACCACTCTTCAGCGGGGATTTGGACTTTATCGGAGACGCCTACGGCGAATCACCGCCGACCCCTGCCTTCTGGAAGCGCCTCTGTGGCCGAACGTTGTGGCCAGAGCTCTGTCAAGCTGTCGGACCATGTGTTCCCCCAGCAGTTGAGGATGGCGGGGAAGATCAGGAGGAGAAGGAGGAGGAGGAGGGGGCATCTTGGAAGCCTCTGGGGGCATTCTTGGGGCCTCCTGGGAGCGTCCTGGAGGCCTCTTGGAGGCATCTTGGGGGCCTCCTTGGGTCTCTTGGGGACCTTTGGGGGCTTCTTGGGGACCTCTTTGCCCGTCTTTGGGCGTTCCTGACCCGTCTGACGTCGTCGGAAGCCGTCTTGGGGGCCTCTCTGAAGCGATTCGGGGCCCTCTTGGTGTGCTCGATGGCTGTCTTGGAGGCCAACTTGGGCGTCTCGGAGGCCTCTTGGGCCGTCTTGGGGCCCTCTTGGGGCCGTCTTGGGGGCGGGGCCTCTTGGGCCTTTCTGGGGCCAGCTTGGAGGCCTCTTGAGCGAACTCGGGGCGATCTTGGGAGGCTCTTGGGCCGTCGGAAGGCCGAAACGAAACAGAGGGTTGATCGCCCCTCTTCGGAGGGTTGATCGCCCTGACCAGGTGGTCGACTTGCGCCTGCTCGGCGCGGCCCCTCGCCCGCTGAGCCCTGCCGCATCAGTGCTGTTGGTCGACCTGGAGGTCGGGGGGATGGAGCTGGAAGCTGTGCGTCGCTCCCGCTGCTATGGGGGGGGGGCTGGGCGCATCCCCGAAGAGCCAGTCTAGCCCGACCTCTGCCCGTTCGAGGCGCCTCGGCCACCAGGTACGCCCGCTGGCGCCTGTGCGACTGCGAGGTGTGCCGCGGCGCGATCTCTTTGGCCTTTCGGCATAGGCGTAGCTTGCCGGCTCTGCCTTCGGTGGGGCGCTCTTAGGCCGTCTTGGGTCCCTCTGGAAGGCCTCTTGGGCTGTCTTGGGGGCCTCTTCGTCTTGGAGCGTCGGAAAACAGAAAAGGCGAGAACTCCCAAGTACGTCAAACACCTAGGGGCCATCCCTGATTTTTGCGTCTTGAGGCCCTCTTGGGAGGCCTCTTGGGGCGTCTTGGAGGCCTCTTGGGCCATCTTGAGGCCATCTTGGGCGTATTGGAGCGATCTTTCGGCGACTCGGGGCCCTCTTGGACCGTCTTGGGGGCCTCGTGGGGCTCTCTTGGCCCGTCTTCGGGTCATCTTGGGACTGGGACATTTGTGCGACAAGCCGCGGGGGAGCCAAGAGGGCACGCGGGAAGCCCCGAGAGATTTCGGAAATTGTGGTCCAGGCCCCTTAAAGACTCCTCAGGACTGAGGACTGAGGCTCCACGGATTGGGCAAATGACCTGAGGATATGCCCATTCCGTGCTCAGATGCACGGTGACGGATCAAGGGAATGCCATTCCCCCGCGCCCTGCTCCGCGCTGTTGGAATTGTGATGTCACGTCCTCAGGACAGCAGAGTGGACGTGGCCGCAGCGTGTTTCAGCGCTGATTCGAGCGAGAGCCAAGGCGATCGCTGATGGGGTAGGCTGGTATCCCTGTCGTCGGCAAAAGGCATCCTCTTGCTGCTTGCTGACGCTCTTCCTCTCACTTCCTCTTATCCTCCTCTTCCTCCTCATCCTCCGCCTTCTCCTGCACCTATCCTCAATCCCTCCTCCATGTCCTCCTCCATGGTCCTCCGTCTCCTACTCCTGCTCCTGCGGCCATTGCTTTTGATCCCCCGCTTCTTCTTCTCTCTCCCCTTGTGCTCCCGACCCACTACCTGCTCCTCCTGCTCCTGCTCCTCTAATTCCTTTTCCTTCTCCTCCTCTTCGTTACCAACGTAATAGGAGGAGAACATGGAGAACGAGGAGGCGGAGGAGGCGGAGGAGGCCGAGGAGGAGGAGGACCTGGAGGAGGAGGAGTTGGTCCCTGCCTCCCACTCCCGTTGTTTTCCCATGGAGCGCCTGAGGCGGAGGAGGAGGAGCAGGAGGAATATGAGCAGGAGGAGGATGAGGAGGAGGATGAGGAGGAGGAGGAGGAGGAATCCTATTAGTCATCATTCTATTAGCAATACGTAATCCTATTACTCATCATTATATCAGTACCAGTTACTGGAAGACTAATACTAAGAGGGATATGAAGAGGAGGAGGAGGGAGGAGGAAGAGGAGGAGGAGGAGGAGGAGGAGGAGGAGGAGGAGGAGGAGGGCCAGGAACACAGCAGGAGCAGGTGCGGGAACCAAGATAACGCGGGAGAGAAGGGAGCGGAGGGAAGGAGAGTGGGAGCGGAAGAATAAAAAGGAGGAGGAGGGGGAATATGTGGAAAAGGGCGGGGGTGGGGGAGCGGGAGAATTGGGAGGAGGGGAAGGGGAGACGCTTCTGCGGGTGCTTCTTCGGTGTGGCATGACCTCAGGGCCGATTGGCGGGGCACGCTTGGACGGCGACTTTGAGCCCTGGTTTCCCGGCGGCGGCGGCATGAGTTGGCTGCCCCGCGGCATCGTTAGCAGCACCTTGCTGACGCACCTTGCTTGCTTGTCCACTCCTGGAGACGAGGTGGTCGTCCGCGTCCTTGCTGTTTTCGTTCTCGAGCTCGCTTCCGCCTTTGCTCAGAAGTCTTTATTCGCGCTCTCTAAGGCTGTCGCATGCAGCAGGGCGCCACACGGGTCTCAGCAGTGGCCCTGCGCGTCCACGCCTTCTCGGCCCAGGGCTGCTTTTTGGAGGCGTTTTGAGCCATTTGGTGCTGACTCGTAGACGTTTTAGGCTGTCCACTGGGCTGTCTTGGAAGCGTTGGAGGTGTTACAGGCCACCCTGGTAGAATCTCGGGAGTTCTCGGGCCATCGTTGGGCCACCTTGGTGCCTCTGGGGGTCATCTTTGAGAGTGTTTTCCTCAGGGGGTTGACGCCGCCCGCCATTGGGGCCGCCCTTGCCCTGGCTTCGCCCCCAGTTTCTCTGGCGGTCCTGCCAGCGGCTCCGCGCGGGCGAACCAGTCAACCGCATAACAGCCACGTTGCCATTCTTGCGTGACTGGATGATGGCGGAGGGTGCGCCCTCCAGGCGCGCGGTCCATCGTTTCAGCAAAGCGGTTTGTGGCGCAACGTGAGGGCGACCGCGGGCCTGGGTCCAGCTGTAGCACGCCCTGTTTCGACTCAGCTGGGCGGCTTCTTTTCCCCTCAGGGCTGCCTCCAGTGAGTCGTGCAGCGTTGTCCCCCGTGGGTTGAAAATTGTACGCCCAGCTGTCGCTGAGCTGGCCGCTCCGCGCGCGCTCTATCTTCACCTTCAGCCGCTTGCCTGGCTCCCTGCGCTGCTGCGCGCGTGGCCGCAACGCCCGAATTGTACGGTTCAGCTGTGCGCCTTCCAGAGTTTTTTCTGACCAACAAGGCCTCGCAAGAGCCAGAAAGGGCCCAAGAGGTTGTGACGTGTCCATTCGCGCCCAGATTGTCGGGACTCTCTGCTTTTCTGGGGCAGATTTGTCCTTCCTTCCAGAGTCATGACCACCACCATGGAGCATGCATGGCATTTTGGGCTCACTAGGGGGGTAGCTGACCAGGGTGGCATGTCTGGGCCGTTCGCATCCAGATTGTTGGGACCCTCAGACCAAGTTGCTTGGCCTCTCCCCTCTCTTCGTGGCTCCACGGCCACCGCGATGCAGACGACGTGGCGTTGGTCTGAGGGGGTGCCGGCCACACTGTTTGTCACGAGCCCGCTCGCGCCCACACTGGGGGATCTCTCGGGTAAAGTGACCGTTGGGTTTCGTCGGGCTCCTTTATGCAGAGCCCCATGTTGCCTCCCAAGGGGGATTGGCGGCGCGCAGAATGGGGTGGGGGGAGGGGGCAAGGCTTCTTAGAAGGAGGCTGCTTTTTAGAAGGCGCCAGCCTTACGTCTACAGACAAGGCCCGCGCCTTCTAAGAAGCAGTGGTGCTTCTAAGAAGCCTCCCCCCTCCCCCTACCCCCCTCTGCGCGCCGCCAAGGGAAGCTGACCAGGGTGCTATCACTGGCACGTTCGCGCCCAGATTATCGGGCCTCTCGGGGATCGTGACCGTGTTGGCCCCTGGGACACCCCTCTAATGGCCTTCGGCCCATCCCGCTGCCGTGCCTGGGTTGTGGGTAAGCCTGTTGGATGTTCGCTGGGATCTCGTGGGAGGCCTCTCGGGGGCCTCTTGGAGACAGTTTGGAGGCCTCTTTGGGGCCGTTCCGGGCCTTTGGGGGCCGTCCTGGGGCCTCTCGGGGCCTCTTCTGGGGCGGAGGGCTCGGATTTTCGGTTCGTGTTCCCTCCCTTGGACCTTTCTTGGGGCCGTGTTGGGGCCCTCTTGGGTCGTCTTGGGTGCTGTGAAGGCCTCGTGGGTCGTCTTGGGGCAGTCTTGGGGGCCCCCTGCTCCTGGGCCGTCTTGGAGCGTCGGGAAGCCGAAAAGGCGAGAAAGCAACACAATCTTCAAGCACCTAGGAAAATCAATGATGTTTGCCTCTTGGGGCCCTCTTGGGAGGCCTCTTGGAGGCCTCTTGGGGCGTCATGGAGGCCTCTTGGGCTGTCTTGGGGCCATCTTGAGCGTCTTGCGACTCGGGGCCCTCTTTCCTGTCCCGTCTTGGGGCCTTGTGTTGGTGATGGTTGTGGTGAGGACGGCGACGACGACGACGACGGCGACGACGACGACCACGACCACAACCACGACCACGACCGCGACGGCGACGACGACGACGACGCTTTGCCGCCGCCCCGTGGCGTGCGCGATCGCCCCTCGCACGCTCGGCGGGTCAGCCGGCCGCAGGCGCGGGAGGCCGCGGAGGCGCAGGAGCGACCAGCGCCCGCGCGGGAGCCGCCTGGCCGCCGCGACGGGTGCCCGCGGCGCGGTCGATTTTCGAGGAGGAGGAGGGGTACGAGGAGGACGAGGAGGAGGAGGAGGAGGAGGAGGAGGAGCAGGAGGAGGAGGAGCAGGAGGAGGAGGAGGAGCAGGAGGAGGAGT